TCTGAATATCAGGTATTTTAAACCAACTCTCTTGGCAGAGAATATCCCCCATAACAGGGGTTCTCAACCTTTTTCTTTCTGAGGCCCCCCCTCGACATGCTATAAAAACTCCATGGCCCCCCTGTGCCACAACAACTGTTTTTTCTGCATATAAAAGCCAGGGCTGCCATTAGGGGGTAGCAAACAGGGCAGCTGCCTGGGGCCCCACATCACGGGGGGCCCCCATGAAGCGACATTGTTCAGGCTTCGACTTCAACCCCTCGGTGGACCTCCTGAAGCCTGCTCACGGCCCCCCAGGGTGCCCCGGACCCCTGATTGAGAACCACTGCCCTACAAGGCCTCTGAAACTACACCCTATGTAAAATGATAAAAGTTGAACAGTAGGCTATTCTGTGCTCAGTGTGTTGTTCAGGAACAAAATATAAACATCTCCAATGAAAGGTTGCTCATGTAAAACTGTGTTTGTCAAGTGCTGCCGCCTCCCTTCTTGCTAAGAGTTAGAAGATAGTGTTTCTGTGTAAATAGGGTCTCAATTCTTCTCCACGAGAGCTAACACCCTCCTGATAAACAGGATTTATCATATGCTAAACATGGAGCTTTCTGGGGGGGCCCGATAGTAGCCGTACATCACCAACATCAGACAACATATACTGCCTGCCTCTAAGATGCTGATGGAGAAAATAAATGGGAGTAGCAGTCTGAATGGCAATTCAAAATGTCAGGTATGTTTAACATGCAATTTCCATTTAGAGAGTGATATGCATATAGAGATTAGATGGGCAATAAGGTATTTGATCTCCTGTTAATTGCATCGAAGAATTTTGATGTTTGTCAAGTCTGAGAATTCAGCAGAGCCAAGCAAATAAGTGTGGTCCTCCTGGAATAAACCTGAGAGCAAAAATTCCTCGGGAATCCTCTGCACTGACTGTTACGTTGTTGTCAGTTCACCCTGACAACATAAAATCCTCTTGGTATAGCAGCAGGTATGGGCAAATTTTATTACAAAAATGCCAAAACGGTGTTAAAAATTCATTTAGCTTTACAGTTGTGCAGCTTGGACTCCAGACCTGGCCACTGTTGCGATTTTTAGTCTGAAGTTTTATATAAACAGGGTTGTCATGGACGTGGGCAATGTGAGCTTTTTCATAAAAGTGCCTCCCATCAGTGCCGCTGGCAGCAGGCGCTTCCTCAGTGCATTGGAAAGTACCAGACAGGACCTCTGTGATGTGAACTTTCTCTCACAATGCCCTATAAATAGAGATAAATCTGCCAGAGTTTGCCAGCTTAAGAGTGCTGAAATGCTTCTTCTGTAGCCCACTCTGAATGCATCCGATGAAGTGAGCTGTAGCTCACGGAAGCTTATGCTCAAATAAATGTGTTAGTCTCTAAGGTGCCAGAAGTCCTCCTTTTCTTTTTGTGAATACAGACTAACACAGCTGCTACTCTGAATCCTGTCTCTAGGGAGGTATCCAGTCAAGAGTTATCAGCGTAGTTTACTTAAATGACAGAATCACAAAAGTGGTTCCCCCCCCCCCCCCAAATGAAAAGGGCTACGTTTCCGAAATACTATATGTGATGCTAACAGCTCCACCCAGCAAGCCTGTATACCCGGGCTGTCTCCTGCTTCACTGTCCAAACGTCAAACACTTAAATACAGTGTGTGTGTCAGTGCGCATGGGGAGAGGGAGGGATGTACAAATTTAAGGTGTGAAAGGCAAGGTGGGGGATGCCAGCTGAAGATGCTGCAAAAATGTGTTCAAAACATTTAACATACTGAAAAGTCAGCTGAGACGGTTGAGGTTGGTTCAGCCTTGGGAAGGGACCGTGCTGGCCCAGGAGGAAGAGTACCATTACCAGCCACCCTTATCTGTAAAATATCTCCACAAATACAACAGAGAAATAGCAGTGCAGCAGGAGTTCCTCCTCCTTAGGAAAGCCCACCTGGAAACTTACCTTTTCTCAAGACAAACTGCCTTCACTTAAGGGAAAATGATGATGAAAAAGCTGTTTCTTGCCCAGCTATTCCAGAGTCAAGGGTTAGAACACATCAGAGAATTTACTGGGATGTACAAATTTGATCTTTGGATATGCTTACAGCTAAAGTTACAGTTGCAAGACTCTCATCCTCTCTCCTCTCCCTAGCTCTCTAGCCCTTGTTTTCCACTGCACAGCCTTCATCAGTGCCATAGTTGGACAGAACAGTGTTCTCTCTCCATTATATCAAGGACTGCCCAACAGCCTTAGCACTGTTTCAACTGCAAAATCAAATGGAACCCCATCAAATTTAAACATCAAAGATATCCGTTGTCTGGGTCCTTTCCCAGAGGTCCCAGTCCATCTCTGCATTGAGAAAGCATCCACATTTAGAGATGATTCATTACTAGGACAAAGAGTGGCTCTTAAGAGACCAGACTTGGGTCCCATTCCACTGGTGAATGATGTACACTTCAGAACAGATCCACAGACATGTTTTAGTAGCTTCCTACATTGCTCAGCTGCCAAAGTGAGGATCGGAAAGTTTCTGTGGGATCAAGACTCCTTTCTGAGGGTCTGACTTCTTTGCCCCTAAAGGAATAGGGGACAAGAGGATGGGTCCTTGCCTGTCAAGGCTCGTCTCTGATTTCAAAAGCAAACAAGCTATGAGGGAATGTATAATTTAAACCACAGTACAAGTTTTATTCAATAATTCTACTGATAATAAATCAAAACAGATAGAAGTTGTAACTGAAAACACTTGCTCCTGGTCCTTAGCTCTGGTCTTCATTTCTGAACACAAATACTGTAACAAAATCTATTCTCCGGCTCCCAACGAGTGGTCCGTAACCCCGTTTTCTCAATTCCTCTTCACCAGCACAACCCATTCAAATTTTCCCCTATTTTCTTAAGATCATGTTAGTCTAGCTTCACAACCCAGCAATCCCTCCACTGACTAGACAGTGGCACATTCCCTGCCTCACTGTCAATCTCTCAGATGATTTCAATGTGGCCTCTCACCTCTTTGCAACACCTTGTGCTGTCCTGCTTGCCACAAGGCGAGAGGAGACATTGGCACCCACTGTGTACTGCACTTTGTATAGCTCTTTAAAATATTCTTTCCATCGGTTATTCATTGCTTGTTTGTCCTCAGTTATTTGCCTGAACATGTCTTTCATTGCTGACATCTTCAACTCATATGTCCCACTCTGTTCTGTTATCTTGCAATATAACCTCTATGTCACATTTCTTCTACATATTCTTCTGCTTCTTTGGATTGTTTGCTTATTCATTTGTTTCTGTCACTCTTTGCATTCTTTTTTTAACCTCTCTGGTCAACTTATTGTATTCAGCTCTTAGACTTGCATCTTCCTTTTTATTCTCCTTTAACTTTCTATGCTTGTCACTCAACTGCGGCACTTCATCCATTATCCACCTTGGTTTCTTTGTCTAAAACATCATTGCCCTTTACTCAGTAGAATGAGAAATATACAGATGGATACACAAACAAACCCTACATGCATTTCCCTGCCTCAGTTTCCTCACCATTCAAGCATTTATTGGGCTGGGGTCTGGTTCCTCTGGGATAATCCAAGATCCTTCTGTTGCAACTCATGGCTTGATTTCTGAACCATAGAGTCTCTTTCTTCCTAGATCTTCTTTGGTCCCACAGCTAAACTGAGTCCCCTTGCTACAAAAAAATGTGTGTCTGTTCCCTTCTCGTGACCCAAACTTCCTGTGTCTCTCTCCTCCTAAGAGTCCTTTTAAAACCCCTACATTATCACCTCCATCTCTTTGGGAATTTTCTGCTCTCCAAATGCCCAATCCCTTGTTGAGGATTGGAGAAAACTGGTTCTCCTAATTTTAGCAAACCTCCTTAACATACCCATTGTGTGGTCAGAGTACAGTCTTAAATTAACTATGCTCCAGTTGTCCCTAGTCTGATGGATACTTGCTAAAAGGCCTGACAGCCATGTTGGATTCTACATTTACATAGAGACATTGAGTGTTACAACAATTTTCTTAATAACTTCATAGTCCCAACCAGATTTCATAAATTGTACATACAGTTTCCCCAAACAATCATAATCTCCACTGGGGGACTGCACGGGTTTGAACCCAGGTCCTTCAGTATCAAAGTGTGTGTCTAACATATAAACTGAAAGAACAGCTCTCTTAGCTGGGAAGGGTAATAGTGAAAATAAAATTGAGAACCTCCATATCTGTGTCCATTTTAAGCTTGTAGGGGCATGGTCCACTTCCAACTTTGTTTGCCTCATGCATTGTGGGTGCTTATGGAAATAAATAATTAATGTTTTCATTGGTCAGTGCTTTCCACTGGGGCCATTCTAGTAGCCATTCATTTTTTTCTTCAGCTGTGGATTAACCTACATTTTTAATGACCACATTTTTGAGAAACCCTTCATAAAATGAGAATTTAATCCCTCCGCTTGGAAGATAAAATACTCTTTCTCCGTGTAATCCTATCCAAATCCTGTTTGGTGTGGTGGATTACACTAAACACATCTATGCTGTGAGAATAAAGTACTTGCTTTATATTTAAGGACTCTTCATTAGAAGACTTCTGCACTCATCTTTGACTTCACTGATGGCAGAATAAGGTTCCCTGATTTAGCTCCCATAACTCATTGCTATTTTCCCTGAACAGCCACGTTGAGGTGTGTCCAAGAAGCATCTTCTACTTGAGAGCTCTAATTTTATTTGTTCTTGGTATATACATGTAAAATGGCAAAAGTTATACTGTGTGCATGTTACCATCTAAAAGGGATGTTTGTGTTTATATACGTTTTCAACTCTCAGAGCAGTAGATTTTTATATCTCTCAATTTATGTGTGATATGTGTATACAAAAGAGGTAGTGGAAGAACTGGAAATAACTTTCCAACCAAAATAATGCTCTCCACCATGTTAAAAAATGTTAAATTTCATTGGGTATGTCAGTTTGAAGATGCAGGCTGCATGTATCCAGTGGAAAGTCTAACCAGTCTGTTTCTTTCTTCACTACAGGAGCGTGATGGAATGAGAGCAATTCTCGAGTCATACGACAGTGAGCTGACCCCATCGGAGCACTCTCCTCAGCTGAGTCGGCGCATGCATGAGGCAGAAGAAATGGTGCAGAAGGTGCATGCGCACAACGCTGAGATAGAGGTAACGATGAGGCCCTGTGCTCTAACCCCAGTATAGACGTAATCTATATAGCAGTGGGCCCCAGACTCTGTGGTCAGGAGCTACAGCAGGTGTTCTTTCCCATCTGGTTTCTCTGATTCTGTATACAGCGTGCTTGTGCATTTGGAGGGGGATGAAGCCACCTGTTGTGGTCACATGCTGAGTTCACATGGTTCAGTTGCCTGTTGGGACCATTCGCAAATCCTTTGTTTAACTGGCATTCAGAGAAAACCATAAAGTCAAAGACCGAGTTTGCAAAATGCCTTTTGAAACAACTTTTTAATGAAAAGTTTTTAAGAGCAGGTGTGATTGGGTGTGGGCTCAAAGCACAACTTGCAAAATCTGCACCAATATTTATTCATTCCAATATGTATTTATACACACATAATAGAATTGTATTATCTCCTACCATTATTCATAAGAACGGCCTTACTGAGTCAGATCAAAGGTCCATCTAGCCCAGCTGTCTTCTGACAGTGGCCAATGCCAAGTGCCCCAGAGGGAATGAACAGAGCAGGTAATCATCAAGTGATCCATCCCCTGTCACCCATTCCCAGCTTCTGATATATTACCTGGTGCTTTACTGAGAGCTAGGATAGAGAGTGGATGTGTTACAGAACAGGAGACAATGGTTCTCATAAAAGGCCCAGGTACAGTGGCTTTCATAAGAGCAGAAAGAGGAAAATGGAGTGGAGTTGAAATACTACAGGGAGGGAATTACAGGCATAAGGGGCGGCATAGAAGAAGGCACAAAGCACTTAAACGAGGGCAGAGATGGGATTTATCTGTTCATGAATGGGAATGGTAAGAGATGGTAACAAAGAGGCAGACAATGGCAGAGCTCTTAGAGACTTGACAGGTTACGAGAAAGTCAAGGGAGATGTAGAGTTTGGATGCCTACAGAAATAGAAGTGAAGGCACCATGTATTTGGTGATTCTGTGGCAGCAGAATTTGTTGCACAGTTCATTCCTTGCTGAAGACTTCTGTTCCAGAATCTCATCCTCTCAGTTACAGTCACCTGGCATACCTTAAGTAGTACAGATGACAAAAGAGGATCTGTCTTTTGAACCACGTGCATTATTTAATGCTAATGCCGATGAGCTGCACTCTTTAAAGGATTCTCAAGTCATTTTGAGATCTTTAGGAGTGTATATATCAGCGCTCGAGAGACCAGTTAGGCTTCAACCCTATCAAAAACAGTCTTTCTTGTCATATTAGAGATCTGAATCACCCAAAAAGAGACAGAGGTATCAGAAAAGATCATCTGTCTTCATGGCAGCAGATTTGACTCCTTGGTCAGGAGCCATATACATTTCCTGAAGGAACATCCATCCCCCCACTGGGGTTCTCCCAAGACCTTTTCCACTTGGTTCCCCAAGAACTCAGTTTGCCTCTAGTCTAGTCACTTGGGTTCCTTTATTGGCATACAGTTAAAGTACTTTTGAGTTGATCAGGCTCAGGCTGAGGGGGTGGGTTCTGGGCATACCACACATCCAAAGTTACACTACAAACTTCTTCCTTTAGATACATTTACACGTTGCATTGCATTTACTGTACATTGCCTGACCATTTTGGGATTGGCTGGTTACTTTGTAGGAACTGATCCCTGTACAACATGCTCTGTCCATACACTGTCCATGTACGACTTTATCTCATTTTTACATTCCCATCTTATTTTGTGCATTGAAAATGGTTCCCTGGGTGTTCCTCCCTGTTTTATCTAGTACAGACGTTCTGTTTCCAGACTGCTGATTCATATACCTAATCCTATCCCCCAAGAAATGAGGCCTCACCCGTGTCCAATTACTCATGTCAAGTCAGGCCTACATTCCACTGATTTTGTTTTTCTTTTCTATATTAGCATACGTTTTATTTGGATTATATTTTTGATTTCTTTTGATTTTTATAATTTTATTACTCTGCAATACATTTTTGAGATGACAGTAGTTGTAGTTGTAATTATTTGAACCATTATTGATACCAGGCTTAAAGTACATACCAGTGGATGCAAGCTTACATTTTATGGTGTAGCCCCGTGATTCTCAACCTTTTTCATTTGCGGACCTCTAAGAAGTTTCGAATGGAGGCAAGGACCCCTTTGGAAATTAGACAGGCTGTGGACCCCAAGTTGAAAACCACTGGTATAGCCCACCAGGGTGTAATTTTCTGTTATAAGCGTGCATTGCTTTTAAAGAATTTTTAAAGCATTTTTGTGTAATTTTAACTTTGCTTTAGTTGCATTTTTAAAAACTGGTACTATATATATTTTTTTCATTTATTACCACAGGAAATTTAGGTGTGAAAAAGGATATAGACCTATTAAAATTAAAACATTTCCTGGTTTTATACCAGAAGTGGGGGGTTTTTAGCCACCACATCCTACCTATGCCTTTAAGCTTTGAAGGGCTGTAAAGACTTCAGTGGCTTAAAGGTCAACTACACAAGAAAAAAACAGTGCCCTTTACTGTTTTTATTTTGTTTGAATCTCCCCATCCCCACAAAAGTGTGTTCATTCTTGTTGCATGTCAGGAAACCTATCTTTCCTCTTTTTATTAGAGACCCCTTGCAAGGTCTTCAGAGGACTTGGCTTGTGACATCACATAGGGCAGAACCTAGAGTTGTAGCTATTAATCCCTATGGCTACATCTACATGAAGAACTTTAGGGAATTTACTAAACCAGTGCAGTTCCACTGGTGCTAGCATGGGTGACACACAGGAGACACAGTCCTTACTGTGGTGGAGGGAGGAATGAAGGGGGACACACAGGAGTCCTGCCTTGGTGAGGAATGGGGGAATAGGAGGCACACAGAGCCTCTTGCATGTGAAGGAAGGGGGAAATGAGGGTCACACAGGGCTGCTGACATAGGGGAATGGGGAAAGGGGAGGGGGGGACACAGCCACATGCATGATGGAGGAAGTAGGGGGTTTCAGAGAGTCCCTGAAATAGGGGAGATGGGAGAACAGTACACCTGGAACTTGTATGGGAAATAGAAGAACGTAAGAGCCACTCGGATGTGCAAGGGTGTTTGGCCTGCAGAAGCAACAGAGTGTGTGACCTAGTAATTCTAATGTTTTTAAAAAAAAAAAAAAGGGCAGAAAAACACTTTCAGGGGAAAAAGTTTGAGTCAGTGTCTGTACAGCGCATAAAGGCAATGAGCATAACTTCGTTATTTTTAAGAAAAAATAATTTATCCTCTTTTCCCATATAAAGAATAATGCCCCCACTTACCTGTCGTGTCTTATCCCAGGGTTTTTCTTTATCTGAGGTTTTCATTTGTTTAAATCTATTCACACGTTCCCAGCAAGTGGATTCCTTTGCTAGCCCTATAGCTCTCTGTCAGCTTTTTGCTTGTGAATTGTAGAGAAAAGGCTGTTTTATGATCCCCCTGATTTGTTACCAGCAGCCACGCTTCCGCCAAAGAAATCATACAAGAAAAAATCGATTTTCTATACAGGCATTTTGTTATATATATTATTTTTTTCCCCCATGGATTGTGTCAGCAGTTCTGTATGAGAAAAGAAGACATCCAGTGAAGATGAAGTGGTGGTTGATAATGATATAGTGAACAATGCCAGGGAGGCAGGAAGGTTGGCGTATTATCTGCTATTTGCTCATGAAGGAGATGAGGTCTGGATAATCCTTTGCGGGATGTGTAAGTTGAGTTTAAGAGGAGCAATCTTCTGTCAATGCTAAATAGAGAGAGGTATGAGAGAGAAGTGTTGAGTTCTGGTAGTTTGAGTGAGAAGCTCTGTGCCTGGAACATGCACCCTGAGACTATGGTATGTCTACACTACGAAATTAGGTCGAATTTATAGAACTCGGTTTTTTAGAAATCGTTTTTATATATTCGAGTGTGTGTCCCCCCACAGAAAATGCTCTAAGTGCATTAAGTGCATTAATTCGGCGGAGTGCTTCCACAGTACCGAGGCTAGAGTCGACTTCCGGAGTGTTGCACTGTGGGTAGCTATCCCACAGTTCCCGCAGTCTCCGCTGCCCATTGGAATTCTGGTTTGAGATCCCAATGCCTGATGGGGCTAAAACATTGTCGCGGGTGGTTCTGGGTACATATCGTCAGGCCCCCGTTCCCTCCCTCCCTCCCTCCGTGAAAGCAGCAGCAGACAATTGTTTTGCGCCTTTTTTCTTGAGTTACCTGTGCAGACGCCATACCACGGCAAGCATGGAGCCCGCTCAGGTAACCGTCACCGTATGTCTCCTGGGTGCTGGCAGACATGGTACTGCATTGCTACACAGCAGCATCAACCGATTGCCTTGTGGCAGCAGACGGTACAGTAGGACTGGTAGCCGTCATGTCCGAGGTGCTCCTGGTCGCCTCTGTGAGGTCGATCAGGAGCGCCTGGGCAGACATGGGCACAGGGACTAAATTTGGAGTGACTTGACCAGGTCATTCTCTTTAGTCCTGCAGTCAGTCCTATTGAACCATCTTATGGTGAACAGGCAGGCGATACGGATTGCTAGCAGTCCTACTGTACCATCTTCTGCCAGGCAGGCAAGAGATGAGGATGGCTAGCAGTCCTTTTGCACCGTCTGCTGCCAGCCAAAGATGTAAAAGATAGATGGAGTGGATCAAAACAAGAAATAGACCAGATTTGTTTTGTACTCATTCGCTTCTCCCCCTCCCCCGTCTAGGGGGCTCATTCCTCTAGGTCACACTGCAGTCACTCACAGAGAAGGTGCAGCGAGGTAAATCTAGCCATGTATCAATCAGAGGCCAGACCAACCTGCTTGTTCCAATAAGAACAATTACTTAGGTGCACCATTTCTTATTGGAACCCTCCGTGAAGTCCTGCCTGAAATACTCCTTGATGTAAAGTCACCCCCTTTGTTGATTTTAATTCCCTGTAAGCCAACCCTGTAAGCCATGTCGTCAGTCGCCCCTCCCTCCGTCAGAGCAACGGCAGACAATCGTTCTGCGCCTTTTTTCTGTGCGGACGCCATACCAAGGCAAGCATGGAGGCCGC